TACAATAAAAAAGTTATAAAAAATAAAGTTACAGGAATTGTATAAATTGATATGCAAGGTTCTTTCCAGCTTGTTTACTCTCTGTCAACATTTATTTTGATAACAGTTATGATGTTTTTCCATCATTTTCTTTGATACACTAGTGAGACTGGCAAATTTAATACCTGTCTTAATAAACCTAATTTCAGGAGCAAAAATCATCATTGTTTACTTCTCTTCCGACACTGTGCCTCTGGCTGAGACTAAAGCTAGGAAAATAGGACAAAATCTAGGGAAAACACAGAGTTTAATGTAAATAAACCCCCATAAGAAACATAATATTACTTAGACCTAGCCCAGGCAAACTAATATTATTTATTTGGGTTGAAGAGACACAAGCGATTTGATCCTAATTTGTAACATTTGCTCAAACACCTAGTCCCTTCTAAAACCCACGGCATTCTACTAAAATTTTTTTACTTAATATTTTAAGTATGTCAGCCTTCCAAATACTTGTAAAACAAACCGAAAATTTAGAGTGAATAATGAGCTCAAAAGATTTCAGGGGACCTCCCTGGTGGCGCAGTGGTTAAGAATCTGCCTGCCAATGCACAGGACACGGGTTCGATCCCTGGTCTGGGAACTAAGATCCTACATGCTGCAGAGCAACTAAGCCCGTGCGCCAAAACTACTGAGCCTGCGCTCTAGAGCCCTCAAGCTACAACTACTGAGCCTGCGTGTCTAGAGCCCGTGCTCTGCAGCAAGAGAAGCCACCGCAGTGAGAAGCCCGTGCACCGCAACGAAGAGTAGCCCCCGCTCGCCGCAACTAGAGAAAGCCCACATGCAGCAATGAAGACCTAATTCAGCCAAAAAAAAAAAAAAGATTTCAGAACCTTCGGGATCAAATGAGAAGCTAATAGAAGATTTTAAACAATGGTTCCTTCTCACTGCTTCTAGTTTTGTTTTTCCTACAACTTAGAACATTCCTTTATTGAAAACATACTTGGAGATGCTTAGAATTAGTGAATGATTCAGGAGTGCACCTCCAGAAAGGAGAGTCCATTCTCCATTTATTTAAATCATTATTTAATGCTAAACAAGTGAGGTGAGAGAATTTAGCAGTAGTCACGGTGCCAGCCAAGGAATAATTATAGTTAACATTTTTGTAGTATAGATGCTGGTCTAACTCTACATGTAATTAAATCATTTTAGCCTTGCGACAGGCTTATGAGAGAGGGTTTTGTTATCTTCATGTTACAGAGGAAGAAATTACGACCCAGAGAGGTTAAGGGAGTTGTTCAATGTCACACAGTCATCAAGTGGCAGAACTAGGAATTGAACCTTAGGCAGACTGGCTCTTAACTGTTCTTAACTTCTAGGCTATATTGCCTCAACTTGACTGCTAGAGCTAGAAGAAACAGACTTTGTGGACCACTGGACAGTGCCTGGGCTCTGCCACAACCACAGTGGCACCGGTAAAGGCCTGAAATACTGTAGGTATGTCCATCTCCTAATCCTTGAATGATGGAGGTTCCCTTATTTGGGAAAAGGGTCTTTGCAGGTGTAATTACATTAAGGATCTTGAGATGAGGAGATCATCCTGGATTAAACAGGTAGACTCTAAACCAAGTATCCTTCTAAGAGAAAAGCAGAGGGAGGTTTGAGAGAAAGGCAGAGGGAGGTTTGAGACAGACAGAAGAGGAGACAGAAGAGGAAGACGCAACATGGTCACGGAGGCAGAGATTGGAGTGATGTGGCCTCAAGTAAAGAAATGGTGACAACACCAGAAGCAGGAAGAGCTAAAAAACAGACTCCCCACTAAAGCTCTTCGGAGCGAGAGCAGACCTGCTGGATTTTAGACTGCTGGCCTTCAGAACTGTGAGAGAATAAGCTTGTTGTTTTTAGCCACTTGTTTTGCGGTAATTTATTACTGTAGCCTTAGGAAACTAATACTATACTAAGCATCGGTATAGTACTTTTCAGTTTTCAAAATGATTTGGCACACATGACCTTATTTGATCACACGCCCCTGCACTCTGCAGTAATTTAGTTTGGGGACCTAGCTCTGCCACTAAATGGCTATGGGACCTTGTGCAAGTCACCAGCCTCTCTGGCCTTTATCTCTTCATCTGTAAAATGGAGCTAATAAAAATGCCTGCCTTGTGCCCCTCACCAAGGTGTCGTGAGGATCAAAGGGAAAGAACACGAGTGAATGTACTTCCTATACTGAAAAGCTATTTTCACTTCTTACCTTTGGGTACCATCTAAACCATTGCCTGGAGGAGAATGTGGGTGCCATGAACACATCGGGAGGGCCGTAGACATGCTACTGCTACCTCCTTTACCAGGACCGTATGCAGCTGGAACCCTCTGGAGGTTGGGAGTGAAGCCTGGGGGTGGAGAGACAAGGAATCATTGGGAAACTGGGACAGGGACTGAAGCTTGACAAGACTGAGCTCTGCCATGAATTCAGCCATCTCATGAGCAGAGGATTGGTGTCCTAAGGCTGATTTCTCAAGAAACATATGGTCTAAGAGCAGGAAGGCAGAAAGGTCTGTTCCCCATTAGCCCTTGTTCTCTGCATGGTCAGAAGCCAAAGACCACCCCAGAAGGTGTGAGTGGAAGTTCATTTTCCTGCTGACCTTTCAGTCCTGAGCTTTTGAGTGATGATGGTTCTGAAAGGTGGTAATTAGTGCCAATTGAGGTGATGCTTTTGTGAAGCTGACACCTCTCCATTAGGAAATGGACTAAAGCCAGTGGACCAGCAACTCAACCAGGGGAGAAAAAGCTAAAAAATCAGTGCCTGGCCAAACTCTGCACAATTAGAGTCTTCCTCCAACCATGCTCTGGTGCACAATGGGAACCCTTGCAAGGCTGAAAATGGGAACGCCAAGGTTGAATGCCACCCTAAGCTTTGGCATAGACATAAACAATGACAAGGAAAAAAAGACACAATGGGTGAGAGAATAGGAATGGGGGCAGGATAATTCAGTGTGTTTTTGCGGGGCAAAATAAACCCAGGCAGAAGAAAATAGCACGGATTAAGCCAAAGGCACTCATCTAAATTCGGTACGAAGCAATTTCCTGATTTTTAATGAGTTATGTCACTTGCATTCTGTCAAACTTCTTGTCTCCTGTTCTTACGTTCTTCATTTAGTCTCCATAGGTACCCAGAATTCTTCTAAAACTTGGCATCATCAGGAACAAAAGCTTCACTCAGGTTATCACAACTTTGTAACCGTTTTCCTCTTTTTCCTTTAGCCCCAACCAAACCTTTTTCCACACGTAAACACAAGTAATCTTCTAAAAGACAAATCTGAATGTGTCACTCTCCTGCCTAAACCTGTCACTGCTTTGCTATTGCTATTGTACCAAAGATAAAAATCTAAAATCCTCAACATGACATGTTCTGGCTCTGAGACCTCACCAAGCCGACCTAGTACTGCTCTCCCCATCACTCTGTACTCTCCTTTGCACCTCTGTTTTCTGGATCTCGGTCTTCAAACAAGTTATTCATATGTGTGCATATATGAATATATACACAGACATATATGGAAATGACCAAGTTTGATATATACCTAACCAAGTAAGATATGTTCCCTTTGACTAGAAAGCTCTTTCCTCTGCACTTTGCCCGGCCAACTCCCACTTCTGGTTTCCAACACATGGAATGGTCTTTCCAGATCACCCACCCCCCATTTAAAATCATGTTTTCCTTAATATTCTCTCTCATAACACTATTCTTTCCCTTAATAACATTTACCATACTGCTATGTATTATATGTATTTCTTTGCCTTTTGCTTCTCGCACTAAATTGTTAGCTCTAGGATGTAGGGACATAAATGGTTTATTCCCTGCAATAAAGCCAGATACTTTATCCCAGCCCTAGATATTCTGAGATTCAATTGGTCAGGAATTGGTCAGGGGTGGGGTTTGGGCACTGGCATTTCTTCATTGTTCCTTGGGTGATTCTAGTGTTCAGTGAGGATGGAGGACTATTTATACAGTCTACCCTCATTATTTCAGGAAGGAAGTAAATGAAGCCCAGAGAGGTCAGGTGACTTGCTCAAGGTCTTCTAATAGTGGAAACAAGGACGCAGTTCTTTCAGAGCCTGGTCTCTTTACACACTATGATGTCCCTTCACTTAACCTGGAGAAGCTTTGTAAATGAGTAGGGAAAGGTTTCTCACAATTTTTGCATTCTTGGTAGGATAACCAATTTGTACCTGTTTACCTGGGACTTCCCTGGTTTTAGCAAGTTAAGAAGGGGAGAAAATGCTATCTGCCTCATAGCTGTTGTGAAGGTTAAATGACCTAACGTACTTGTAAAGCACGTGGCACAAAGCCTGGCATGCACATAGTAGGAGATCAACTATTGTTAGTTTTTAAAATGATATAGGAGTCTTTGGAGACAGGCTACCAAGGTAGAAACTCTGCCTTCCTCCCCCCCCCCCCCCCCTTCTTCCTCTTTGTTCTTTTTTTCCTTTCTTAGTACAGGTGTAAATATATAAACATAGAATGGAGATGTCTCTTAGCAGTTGTGAGCACACCAAAATCCTTTTTTTTAAACCGGTACTCATTACTGTCTGTCAACTTTAAATGCCACCCAGAAGTCTCTAGGTAGTGTAATTTCTCCCTGCCAAGTGAAAGCATTCACAGTGCTCAATCTGCTCAGTCATTAAGCAGCTACTTAAAACAACTCTTTCAGGGCTTCTCCTTCCCTTGGGCATCCATGCTTGTAACTCTGTCAAAGTGCCTGTTTCCTGGAATCTGGCTTCTGCAGACTTCCCAGATGTTGGTATGCCAGACTAATTATTTTTCTAAGGCGGCACTGGTGTCCTCAGGATACCAGCTGAACTTGATCCATATGGTAGCTCTGGGAAAAGGGCAAAATGCTAATTATGTAGAACTTAGGCCATTGATATTTATTGTTTGTTTATTATCTGCACAGGCCAACTGAGGGATAAACTTGGAGGCAACTCCAACATGGTAACTGGGGTGTTCATTTAGTTAGTCTTACCTCACTTGTAATGGTGATCTTTATGTCTTTAGCAAATCCATATTAGAAATGATAGTTCATTTGTGGAACTGTGAACGAAACAGAAATGCAGCAAATCAGAGATTTTTTGACGATGGGACTTTGAAGATTACCTCATCCAACCCCCTTGAGAGTATAGCTCATTTAATATTTTGTTAATGTAACATTTTGCAATCCACCAGGAAATTCCTCTAATCTTATCACCCATCAATTGGTGACAAAAGGATTTGGGGAAGGAAAGCAGCTGCAGATTTTGATGCGGGAGGGCAGTGGGCAGGTGAGGGGGGAATACATCTTGCGTGATATGCCAGGGAGAGGCTCAGCAAGGAAGGAACAGTCTAGGGAGATTGGCAATCAATAAAATCTAACATTCTACAAAGCCATAAAAAAGAATGAACTCTATATATGTACAACAGGGATGGATATCAAAATAATTATGTGAGAGAAAGAAGCCAGATGAAAAGAGTATATAGTGCATGTCATTTATATACAGTTCTAGAAAATGTAAACTGATCTATAGTGACAGAAGCAGATCAGTAGTTGCCTGTGACTACACAACCACTATCCAACTGGCTTCTGAAGTAAGAAACTTGGTATCACCCTTGAGCCCTGCTTCTCCCTCCCACTCCCTGTCCCATGACTCAGTTGCCAGGTCCAATAGATTCTACCTTTTTAATGTTGTTCACAATCACCTTTTTCTCTCTATTATCATGGTCACCCTCTTAGGTTAGAGCTTCAAACATCTTATCTATACATTATTTTTAGTAGCCTCCAACCTATCTCTTTACCTCTATTTCCTGCCTGTCCTAATTTATCCTCTGTACTACTGTCAGAGTAACTATTAAATGTTTTCTATTGTTTAAACATAAAACTCCCCCAATATAAAGCATTTTAAAATTGTTTAAAATAATTAAGAAATATGCATAGAATTATAATACAAACACCTATGTGTCTATCACCCAGAATTAAGAACTGTTCACATTTTGGAATTTCTATTTGGCATAGTTTTTGAAAAGAAAACGTAAAATGAAATCATCTTTGTTTTCTTCTCCATCTACCCTACCAATGCTTCCCAGTTTCTAACACTGTTATTGATCACATATAACTGTATGTACTTATTTAGCTCATGTTTTTATAGTTTTACTAAACATATGTATCCCTGTGTTAAAAATGAAATAAGTGGTATCTGCAACTTGCTTTACTACAAGTCTTTGAGATGTATGTGTTTTGATAAATATAAAGATGAAATTGACTCTATACTGCTATATCCTATCACATGAGCATATCATACTTAATCCATTATCTTATGAGTAGGGCATTTATGTTGTTTCCAATTTTTTGCTACTAACAGCAATTCTTAATAAACATCATTGTATATATCCCTGTGGTAGGATGAGAGGTGAACCTAAACTTATGCCCATACCCTAATCTTTTGAATCTGTAAATATTACCTTTTATGGCAAAAGATGTGATTAAATTCAAGATCTTGAGAAGAAGCACTTATCTTGGATTATCCAGGTGGGCTCTAAATGCAATTACATGTATCCTACAAGAGAGAGGCAGAGGGAGATTCAACACCACACATACAGAGGAGAAGGCCATGTGAAGATGGAGCAGACAGAGAGCCACGTGGCCACAAGCCAAGGAATGCCAATGGTCAGCAGAACCTGGAGGAGGCAAGGAATGGATTCCCCTGCATGACCTCTGGAGGGAGCATAATGCTGCTTACACCTTGGTTCCCAACTCCCGGCTCCAGAACTATGAGAGAATAAATTTCTGTGGTTTTAAGCCACCAGGTCTGTGGTAATTTGTTATGGCAGCCAAAGAAACTAACATGCTGTATAATGTACTGTGTTTACTATTACATTGTATAATCATTTTCCAGGATTTAAATTTAGGAGTTGCAGGGTATGTACATATTCTATCTTGTGTAGACGTTTAGCGGGCGTTCTAATTTACACTCCTCACAGCGGTATATGATGTTTTTCATTTCCCACAATCTTGTCAATGTTGGTATTGCTGGACTTTAAAATCTCTGCCAGTTCAAAGGTGTGAAGTAGTATTTCATTGTTATTTTATTTGCATTTCCCTGATTACTTGTTAGGTTGAGAATATTTCTGTGTGATCCTTGGTCATTTGAATTTCCCCTCAGTGAGATTCCTGCTTATAATCTCCATGCATATTTATTGGATTGTTTACATTTTTCTTATTTCAGTAGTTCTTTACATTTTTGAATGTAATCAAAATTACTAACACTAACCCTCAGTCCGTTACCTATGGTTCACATATCTTCTACAAGTCTTTGGATCCTTTAACAATGATATTTTAAGGGAGAGAATTTTTAAAACTTATCAAATTTTAAAGATTTCCCAAACTTGTTCTTTGAGTTATATTTTTTTGTGTTTTGCCTAAGAAATCTTTCCCTACATCCAAGTCACAAAAACTCCTCTATACATTTTTTTACAACTGTCTTAAAGTTCTCTATTTTTCACATTTGATCTTCAATCTATTTAGAACTTATTTGTGAGAACAGTATGAAGTTGGAATAACTTCATTTTTTCCCATATAAAAGTCACTTTTACCATTTCTCCACTGGTTTGTAATACCACCTCAATCCCGTACCAATCCAATAAACTGTCATTTCTGGGTCTCTATTTAGTTTCCCAAACTGTATGCCCATTGTAACTGCCAGACTGCTGGATTACTAAGGGCTCAGGAAGGAATTGCAAATGACCACTAGAATAAAGATCCATCTGCCTGAATCAAGAAAGCACAGGGAGGGATCCCCAGGATGTAAGTTTCCAAGGAACCCGTGGAAATGCTCCCTGGGGGAGAGTCAGCTTTAACCATCAGCTGAACCCAAAAGTGCAAGGCTACCTAGCAAACTAAGAATTACCCTGTCCTTTTATTTTTCTCTCTCACACCCTTCTCAATTCTGGCTGGGCCAGAAACTGTAGCTAGTAAATGGGGGAGAAGGTGGGGAGCAGAGAGAGCTGAAGTCAATCACACCCATATCACCAGAGGCAGATGGCCACTAACCAGGCTTTGGTACAGTGAATGGAGAGGAGTCCCACCTTTCAATAAATTTTATTTTTAATTTATTTTTATTTTTTAAAATAATGCCAATGTACTACTTATTTATTTATTTTTAATTGAAGTATAGTTGATATTATATTAGTTACAAGTATAATGCATAGTGATTCTATATTTTTATAGATTACACTCCATTTAAAGTTATAAAATATTGGCTATATTCTCTGTGCTGGACAATATCTTCTTGTAGATTATTTATTTTATACATAGGAGTTTGTACCTCTTAATCCCCTATCCTTATCTTGCCCCTCCCAACTTCCCTCTCCCCGCTGGTAACCACTAGTTTGTTTGCTATATCTGTGAGTCTGTTTCTGTTTTGTTATGTTCATTGGTTTGTTTTATTTTTTGGATTCCACATATAATATACAGTATTTGTCTTTTTCTGTCTGACTTATTTCACTAATCATAATATCCTCCAGGTCCATCCATATTTTTGCACGTGCCAAAATTTTATTTTTCTTTATGGCTGAGTAATAGTCCATTATAAAATGGAATATGTGTACACACACACACACACATACACACACACACCACATTCTCTTTATCCATTCATCTGTTGATGAACATGTAGGTTGCTTTCACATTTTGGATATTGTAAATAGTGCTGCAATGAACATTGGGGTGCATGTATCTTTTCAAATTAGTGTTTTCAGTTTCTTCAAATTTTAAAGGCTTTGAACTCTATCTTGGACTAGACATTATAATTTCCCAATGGAGACTATAATTGAGAACTTAAAGTGATTTTAAAATTATCCTTTGCCTAGGAATGAGCAGGCAATGAAATCATGATTTCAGACCTACGTCCTTCATGAGCAGGATAAAATTACCCCGCTAAATAAATTTGGAAGGGTCATTGGTAGGAAAAATAAAGTTGTATCTGATCACCTCCCAAAGGTTACATAGTCCCCATACCAGTTACCTGTTACCCTCATCTCATCTCCCTCCACTCTTAAATCTCTCTTCTTTCAGTCATACAGTCACTTACAGTTCCTTAAACCAACCCCACTGGCTGACACCTCCAGGCTTTTACACCTGCTGATCTCCTAGCCTTTAATGGCCTCCTCCCTTCTTCCTCTTCTCCATCTGCCTAATTCTTACTTATCTTTCAAAACATTGTCTAATAGTGCCTTCTCTGAGATGCATTCCTTTAACCTCCTCCTTCCCAGCTGTATTTAGATCCACATACCTACATAATAAACATCATCACATTATTATAATTGCTGGTTTCATGTGTTCCTCTCCCACCTGTGAATGTCTTATCATACCCTTGGTGCTTAGCATAATGCCTCCAATATAGTAAGCATTCAGTAAATAACTGCCAATGGTGGGTGGTAGGGGTGAGAATAAATTAGGAGCCAACTCCCAGGAGTCTTCTGGGAAAGCCCCAGGCTTCTGGAGGAGAGTAGAAGACCTCTGGAAGTTGTAGAGTGGCCCATAAGTCAGGAGAAACAGCACTGGGTGGCACAGAACAGACCACATGGGCATGACATGCTTGGAAGTGCCACCTTTGAATCCTGAAGGATTTTTCTGCCATGATGGGCTCAGAGACTACATTCAATTCTTTCTTCAGGTCTTCTGAAAGTTTGGATTGGGGGTATGTGGAAAGAGCTAGCATTTTAGAGTCATTGTTAAGACTTTTGTTGACTTGAACCTAAGTATGTGAGAGAAGAAATGACTTAGATACCAAAAGAATGTTTTCCCTAGGTTCCAAAGAGATGCTCAAGTCAACATAATTAAATGAAAGAAAATTTAAATAAAATCTGTAGGATGTGTCAGGACCTGTGCTTGGTGCACTGCTTGACTCAGGAAAGAACTCTGAGAGTCATGAAGAAGTAACAAGTGTCTCTGATAGAAAGTCTACACAAGGAAATCCATTAACCTAGAACACACAAAGACAATGAAAGATGTGAAAATCTGCGCGCGTGCACACACACACAAAGTTTATATCAGCATTTCATCACCGTCTCTCATGAATAAGTGCTACTTTCTTGATTCTGTTCCCTGTAAACGATCTTGCTCATCATGTTTATAATAAAATGCAGCAGGAATAAAACATGATCAAAGATAAATGGATGCATTTTAAAAAGTAGCTGTACAAAAGATTGTTTATGTTGCGTGGCAGGCCATTTTTCATACTAAAAGGGGCTAAATTTATCTACATAAAACATGATCTTGTTCCCTGCTTTTCCAGTAAAGACTACTGCAAATGCATTGCCTTCCCTAAACTCTTTCAGATTTAAACTCTAGTCTTTGTATGTTGGACACTGGATATTAACAATTGGCTTATTGCTAGGCTCAGCCTAAGGTGAACCATTCCTCCTGGAGGAATCCTAATTCCTGGGAAGCCTGATGAGCTGTATTTTTAAGGAAAACTCTTAGTCTTCATTTTGGGTCTTGACATGAAGCAGAATAGTGACTTTGGGATCCAAAAGACCAGAAATGAAGACCCTTAGGAGAGATTCTGTTTCTTCTTATTATTATAGAATAGAAGAGTCTTGGGACTGGCCTTTATTTGCTCTTTTCTGGGCTTTTCCTTCTCAGATTGTAGTCCAAGGGGGAACAGTTATTGTTTGTTTGCTTCCACACCATCAATCTCTCCCATCTCTCTATACCCCAACCTTCTCCAGCTGACTACTGAAATCTAAAGATGTTTATTGGATACTTTTCTTGCCTGTATTAAGGTCTTTGGTGGGAGAAGTCAGAACAAACTTGTCATTTACATAAGCTTTATAACAATCATCATCACCACAAACTTCATTATCTTCATAAATAAGAACATTACCATAGTCTCTATCTCTTATTGATCACTTAGCATGTTTCTGGCACTGTCTGAAGACTTTTTCACACATTTTCTCATTCAATACTCACCACAACTTCATGGAGTAGGCAATAATACTGTTTTCATTTTATACATGAAGAAGCTGGAACTTAGAAGGCTTAAATGACTAACCTGAGGTCTCTCAGGGTAGAAGTAGAAAAGCCTGGACTGAAACCAGGGCTCTCTGACCCCAAATCCATGTTCTCCACCACGGTATCACACATATGGACGCAGCACAAAGTACTCTTCAATGTTTCTAGCTTTTAATTTTGGAGAATTATTAGTGGCAATATCTTAATCCCAGACCGAATTTCACGGCCACTCAGAAGCATATACATATCCTACAAACTCATCTTAAGTTCTGTAAATGACGCCTTTCTTCGCACAGACATTGTGTTATTTTGGAAACTAGAAGGTTTTTCATTTAAAAATGTTATTTATGTTAAAAAAAAACTCATCTTAAGTTTGTTCTAAGCAAAATATAATTATGATGGTAATCTGCTTTTTTTTTTTTAAGTAAGCCAATTCAAAATATGCAAGAATTCTTGCCTTCCCTAAGTTTGACTTGTGGAGAGCTGACTCTCTGTAATTTTAATTCTATATTTTCTGTTCAGTTGCTTTTTAAAAAAGACTTT